TGAATATATAATGTAAAGACAGAAAAATAAAGTGATTAATTACCTAATAGAGATAATTACTTTATCATCTAATAGTGATTACTTCATCCTGAAAAAGAAATTTTTGATACATTAAGGAAGAGAATGCTGAATTTGGTATTTTAGATCTATGATATAAACCTTTCCTCAATAAAGAAATTAGAAAAACATGTCTTATAAAATTCTTTCAACAAGTGCTCTAGCCAAAGCAAAATAGTCACAAGTGAAAGATAAATTGTAGTAAAAGTTGAAAAGGTCATTTATGAGGATAGACTCAGGAAGCATGTGACTCTTGATGGATATGCACTATGAGAAAAGCAATGGGATAGAAATATATAAAAACATATTCACGATTTAAAAAAAAATCACAGAGACTCTCGTGCAGCCTTTGTTTTCAACTTAACTTTCTATCAATGCATAGAAACATTTTAAAAAATGTACAGATCAGCTCAATGAATTTTGAATTTAATACATGGTGCCCATGTTACCAGCACCCAGAAACAATATTCAGCACTCTAGGAGCTCTCTTTTCTACTCACCCATTTCCAAGGACAACTATTATCTTCACTCCTAACACTACAGATTAGTTTTGCCAAATGCTGATATTTTTATCAGTGGGTTCATACAGGATCTACTCTTTTGTGTCTGGCTTTTTTCCCCCCTCAACTATGTTTGTATGATTTGATCATGCTGTTGAATATAATTGTAATTTGTTCATTCTCATTGCTGGCAGTATTTCATGATATGAATATTCCATAATTTATTTAAACTTCATATTATTGATGGGCATTGGGACAGTTTGTTTTGATTATCAAATAAATAGTGCTGTTATAAACATTTTGTACCTTTGGTGTACAGAAACATGCACATTTCTGTAAGGGATGTACCTGGGAATCGTAGACATGCCAGGTTAAAAGTCTGTATATGTTCAGTTTTAGTAGATATTGGCAGCTATCCAAAATGGTTGTACTAATTTATTTATTTATTTATTTTTTAAAGATTTTATTTATTTGTTTGAGAGAGAGAATGGTAGAGAGCATAAGAGGGAAGAGGATCAGAGGGAGAAGCAGACTCCCTGCTGAGCAGGGAGCCCGATGCGGGACTCGATCCCGGGACTCCAGGATCATGACCTGAGCCGAAGGCAGTCGCTTAACCAACTGAGCCACCCAGGCGCCCTGGTTGTACTAATTTAAACTCCCACCAGCATGTCAGCCTTTTATTCTAAGAAAATGTAGGTTTCAATATTTTTTAAATTTTTTGTTGTCTGTTTCAAGTTTTTATTTGGATTTCAGTTAGTTAACATACAGTGTAATATTAGCTTCAGGTGTACAATATAGTGATTCAACAATTCCATACATTACCCAGTGCTCATCACAAGTGCACTCCTTAATCCCCATCACCTATTTCACCCATCCCCCCACCCACCTCCCTTCTGGTAACCATCAGTTTGTTCTCTATAGTTGAGTCTGTTTCTTGGTTTGCCTCGTTCTTTTCTTCCCCTTTGCTCATTTGTTTTGTTTCTTAAATTCCACATATGAATGGTATCATATGGTATTTGTCTTTCTCTGACTGAACTTACTTCACTTAGCATAAAACTCTCTAGCTCCATCCATATTGTTGCAAATGGCAGGATTTCATTCTTTTTTATGGCTAAGTAATATTCCAGTGTGTGTGTGTGTGTGTGTCTGTGTGTGTGTGTGTGTGTGTGTGTGTGTGTATACACCACTTCTTTCTTATCCATTCATCAGTCAATGGACACTTGGGCTGTTTTCATAATTTGTCTATTGTAGAGGCACATATCCCTTTGAATTAGTATTTCTGCATTTTTTGGGTAAGTAACTAGTAGTGCAATTGCTAGATCATTGGGTAATTTTATGTTTAACTTTTTGAGGCCCCTCCATGCTATTTTCCTCGGTGGCTGCACCAGTTTGCATTCCCACCAACAGTACAAGAGGGTTGCATTTTCTCCACATCCTTGCCAACACCTGCTGTTTCTTGTGTTGTTGATTTTAGTCATTTTGATAGGTGTGAGGTGCCTTTGGAATTGTCAATATTAATTACAGTATATGTGCTGCCAAAGCGAGCACTGTCAATATTAATTATGAAGTTGTATTCAGTATAATGCAAAAAAATGAAGTGAAATAACTGGAAACCGAAGAAATAGAAATTTTTTTGCAGAGGATAAGATTTTATATGCAGAAAACCCAAAAGTTTGTACAGATAAACTACGGATCGAATTTTATCAATCACAGGATACAAATTAAAAGGCAAATTATAATTCATTAGCAATAGTTTGAAAATGAAATTTAAAGTATTTCTAATAACACTCTGAAAACGCCAAATGTCTAGGAAAAATAAAATATGTACAAGATTTATATGCTGAAATATAAAATATACTGAGATAAGTTACCAAAATCCTAAATAAGTAGGGAGATATGCCTTTTTCATGAGTTGGATGACTCAATAAAGTTAAGATGACAATGACCCTAAAACTTACCTATTGATCCTTGCCTGGTCATGGCAAGAGTAAAGGAATTCTTCCTATAATATTAAATTTTTTTAGATAACATTGAATAGAAGTCAAATCAATATGTTTGCCTCTATAATAACAGAACTATAATTAAAGACTAGAAAAAAATCTAATTTTATGTCTCTATAAAATTGATTCAGTATTAGATTACTGGTAGCTATAATCCCTAAAAATTATTCATTGTAAATTTAAAAGTAAAAGATATATCTAAACTGTATCAGGTGAATATTTCTTAGACAAAAAGAATATTTCTCTTTTTTGTGAACTCATATTTTTATAAGAGAAAAGGGATTTTTAATTGATTAAAGACACAACACATATTAAAACCATTGGAAATACAAATAAAATCCTATGGAAACACACGTCTACTAGTCTATGCAACCACACAGAGAATATATAGAATTCTATTTCTGACAAATAGGAATATATCTTTGTTTTCAAGTCACTAGGTACCATTTATAATATTTTGCTATGTATGATAGAAACAACTCAATAACTTCCAAACTCCAAATATGATCCAAGCCACAGTCTTTAACATAAAGCAAAAAAGTAGACATTAATAACTAAAATATAAACACAAAAGACTTTGCCATTAAAAGGCACTACCTCAGAAGACTTTTGGGTAAAACAGAAACCAAAATTGCAACTACATTCTGGATATGTTCTATCTCTTGGTTAACATGGTGATTTCATGTATATGTGTATGTGTGTATAGCTGGGTTCTTCCCATAGGAAGTTCCATGGACTTCCTATGTTTCCAATTTGTATTCTCCCCTTACAACTATGATTGTTTCATTATTTCTTAGAAGTTTTTGTTAAAACGTTCGATTACAACATATCTGCTGTGTTCCATTTTTTAATTGCTGGGTTAAAAATTTCATGTTTTTGTTCACTTTTTTCTACTGAGTATTAAAAATCTGTATTAGTTTGCTAGGGCTGCCATAACAAAAATGCTATAGACCGTAGGACCTCAAAAACAGAAATTTATTTCATCATAGTTCTGGAGGCTGGAAGTCCAAGATTAAGGTACCATCAGGTTTGATTTCTCGTAAGGCCTCTCTCCTTGGCTTACAGATGGCTAACGTTTTGCTGTGTCCTCACATGGCCTTTTCTCTGTGAATATACATCCCTGGTGTCTCCCTAGTTTAAGGACACCAGTCTTATTAGATTAGGGCTCATTCAAATGATCTCATTTGACCTAATTACCTCTTTAAAGTCCTATATTGAAATGTAGTCACATTCTGAGGTGTACTGGGGGTTAGAACATCAAAATGTGAATTTTGGGGGACACAATACAGTCTAGAATAGGTCAGTAGGAAACTTGTCCTGTTCTTCATCACATTTTTTCGTATAGTATCTTGGCATGAATGCTGTGTCCATTCCCGTTTTATTTCTTATATTAGAATTAGTTGGATTTTTCTCTATAATTAGGAGACTTTTGACTGTGTGTGTTGACTGAGTCGGGGTTGGTTTCTCAGGGCTGTTTTCTAGTCTTTACCTCTCAAGGGCTCCCTTCTGAAAATATGAAACATTTTCTTTTAGAAATGGTTTGGTTTCTAAGAACTGGTATAAAACAGTTTAAAAAATCAGTCAAAATTTGTATCAAAAGATTTACAAGAACTATTTGAAAATAGCTTCTGGTAGTCCATAAGAGTAAAGCAGTCTCAAAAAAAAAAAAAAGTGTTGGGAAGGTCACTCCGGAATATGAAACTATGTTAGTTTTAAACTCAAGTACCTAAATCTCTAGCTAAATGCTCTAGGATAGAACTTTCCTTTCCTTCAGGCTTTCAGTCCTATCACTCCCACCTACACATATAACATGATTCAAAAAACAACTTTTCCTTGATTAGTGATTGTATTTCTGCAAGGAACTCAGTTAGCTTTAGAATTTAACCAATATTATTTGCCATAAAAATGTAAGTAGCATTCCAAAGAAACTTAAACTATTTACCTTCCAAATATAAATATATATAGTATAACTTTATTTTTATGGAAATTCAATTTTCCATAATAATTCCATTGTCTATAAAATTATTTGGCTTCTGAAGGTTAATTTTGTTATAGCAAAACTTTCAGAAGAAAATAATTATTTTTTAAAAACATAGGCATCAATATGGCATGTTTTTTTTTTTTAAAGATTTTATTTATTTATTTGAGAGAAAGAGAGAATGAGAGAATGAGAGATAGAGAGCACGAGAGGGAAGAGGGCCAGAGGGAGAAGCAGACTCCCCGCCGAGCAGGGAGCCCGATGTGGGACTCGATCCCAGGACTCCAGGATCATGACTTGAGCTGAAGGCAGTAGCTTAACCAACTGAGCCACGCAGGAGCCCAATGTGGCATGTTTTGTAAGGCAAAGAATTACCAATTTTTTTAGCTGGAGTAAACAAGATACTGTATACGAACAGTCTTAGGTATCAAAATAATGATCAATATGTAAATGACATACTCATACCTGACAACCAAAGAAAAATATTATTCCCCAGATCCTCTTTAAATTCATCATTAAAAAAATTACTCGATTCTGGAAATGCTTCCTGGAATGTTGCATAGATGGCCTGTGCCAAACAATCAGGATACACCTACCAAAAACAGAGTCATATTAGAATAATTTTATATTTTATATAGTATATGTCAACTACCAAAGAAATTATTATTAAGTCTGTGAAATATACATGTCCCTTTTTTCTTAGAGCTTGCATCTGGCCACTTATAACTTCTTTGTACCCCTAATTGAGGGACATGAACAAAGAAGAGTTGAAAATAAAGTCAATTTGGCTATTTGTTCACATTTTAGAAAATTTAATTTGGATAAAAAGATGAAGTTAACAATTAAGATAAAGTTTGATGATTCTATTTTAAGTTTTGATGATTATTTCATTTAGAAAATTTAATTTGGATAAAGGATGAAGTTAACAAGATTAGGTTTGATGATTATATTTTAAGATAAAGTTTGATGATTATTTATTTCATTTAACCTTGGTATTGTTATCCTCTTTTAGAAAGTGACATATACAGATCATTATAATAAAAAGTATATGTATTTTTTAATTAAAATATAATTGACATATAACACTGTGTAAGTTTAAGGTATACAACATGTTGATTTGATACATATTGCAATACGATTACCACTATAGCATTAACTAACACCTCTATCACCTCACATAATTATCGTTCTGTGTGTGTGTGTGTGTGTGTGTGCACGGTAAGAGTAGCAAGCATATTTTTAAATAACAAGTCTGTTTAGGTGAGTTAACATATTGCAGTTACTATTGTATTGTTTGCATATGAAAACTATGATCAGATATCAACAAATATATGGTTCTACCATTATTCTATTAGACTTAAAATCCCTAAACTACTAAATTCCTCTTAGGAAGTAACTAAACATAAAAGTTACATTTTTCTTTAAATTTTTTAAAAAAAATTTTATTTATTATACTCAGCAACCAAATAAATATCTAAAATCACATTTAGCCCTTAATATTAAATGTAAAATTTTGTAATCTAAGTGTCCCTTAGAGGTCACTGTCCTAATCCTTGGGAGTGTGTAAATGTTCATTTATACAGCAAAAGGGCTTTGCAGATTTCATTAAGTTAAAGATCTTAAAATGGGGAGATTATATTGGATTATCCAGTGGGCCTTAATTGCAATCACAAATGTCTTTATAAGAGGAAGGCTATGGAAATTTTTACTACATTAGAGAAGAAGGCAATGGGATGGCAGAAAAAAGAAATTAGAATAATATGACCAGAATCCAAGAAATGCTGGCAGCCACCAGAAGCTAGAAGAGGCAAGAAATGGATTCTCCTTTAGGGCCTCTTAAAGAAATTGGCCCTGTTGATACCTCGATTTTAGCCCTGGAAGACTCATTTTTGGACTTCTGGCTTCTATAACTCTAAAACAATGAATTTTTATTGTCTTAAAAGTCACTAAATTTGTGATAATTTGTTATAGGAACAATAAGAAACTAATACAGTCATCTACTCCAGGTGGTAAGTGATAATATCTGCTGGTAAGTGATAATATTCTTTGAAGAACTCCATGATTTTTTTTGGTGGTGGTGGTGGGGGGAATGCTTTAACATATTTGTATATTTAATTTTACTGAAATGAATCATGAACATTTTTACTACCAGGAACAATCATGTATTTTGGTATAAAAAGTCATACTATTAAACTTAAAAGGTTGACAAGGTGAATAAGGGGAAATTCTAAAAGTTTTCTGTGAATATCTCATCTTCATGATTAAGGATCAAGTGTCACATTGTCTTGGGAAAATTTCTGAAGGTCTATCATTGTATGACACTGGAAGAAAGTGAAGTAAAAGTCACACTAGATATGTTTAGATTCAGCTAATTTGTACTGAATAGTGGGACATGACGATGACCTTAAAATTCTTAAAAATTAATAAACTTCCCTTTGTTAGGTAAGGTAAATCAGATGAGCAAGCAGTAACAAAACCCTGACTTGTTTGAATGAGTTAAAAATAATGGAAATTTGTCAATAAGAGATAAGACTTTATTTCTACTTAAACAGCTCTGGGGGAGATAGATGTATAGCAAGGTGTCCTCATTCTCAAGCATAGAAACTGGGAGTATTAAAAGAAGACTGAACCCAGGCCAAGGGGTCAAATCACCAAGATGTACATCTTATTCTCAAAGAGGCTTTGAACCTTGATTAAACAACTTCTTATTTCTCCTCAGAAAAAGCCACAGAAAATAGGGACCCAGAAAAAAATCAAGTCGTGATTTGAGAAAGGTTATAAATATAACATCTATCGAAAGGCATATCCAACCCAGGGGAGAACATTTGGACCAAAAGTGTAGGGCTATAAATTGGAGAATGGGGGATATGCAATGGTACCAGTACTTCCTTTGTCCACTTTAAATAGGCCTGTTATCCTTTTCTCAAGAGCATTATGTTAAAGCATGCTTAATTTCATCAAACCATATAGGTAGGCTAAGATTATGGATAGGAGAAACAGCTATTTTTGTCATTTCTAGACAATTTGCCCAAAATCCTAACCATTAACTAACTTTTACATGGAAATAAGAAAAAATATTTCAAAATTAGCAGAGAAAATCCTAGTCCATCTTTCAGAACACCACTATTCTACAAAATGACAATTTATGAATCACAGTTCTAATCAACCTCTTCCAGCTATGGAACTGAGAGACTAAATGTGTTGCCAAGATCACCCAGGTAATTAGTAGCAGATTCTGAACATGAGACCAAGTCGCCTTATTACCAGTCCACTACTGGTTTCCTTTTATAGACACTGCACATATATGGCTTTGAGTAAGAAAGGTAGGTGAAAACTGAACATATTGTCTGGCAATGTAAGTTTGTTTATATTTTCATTGTGAAGGATATTTTACTGTTTTTAAGTTTGTTTTACCCATGAAAACAGTTATCAACTCCAAAATATGAATGTGTATCTGATTTACAGATGTCAACACAACAAAGCATCTGAATGTGACTTCTGCTTTGAGGTGCTGGATGTTTAAATTTAAAAGTATGTAATGAAATTCCTACACATTTTATTTTTCTTTTATTTTTATTATTTTTTTAAATAATGTAATGTATTATTTGTTTCAGGGGTACAGGTCTGTGATTCAACAGTCTTACACAATTCATAGCGCTCACCATAGCACATACCCTCCCCAATGTCCATCACCCAGCCACCCCATTCCTCCCACCCCCCCTCACTCCAGCAACCCTCAGTTTGTTTCCTGAGATTAAGAGTCTCTTATGGTGGGGTGCCTGGGTGGCTCAGTTGTTAAGGGTCTGCCTTCAGCTCAGGTCATGATCCCAGCATCCTGGGATCGAGCCCCGCATCGGGCTCCCTCCTCTGCGAGAAGCCTGCTTCTCCCTCTCCCACTCCTCCTGCTTGTGTTCCCGCTCTCCCTGTCTCTCTCTCTGTCAAATAAACAAATAAAATCTTAACACACACAAAAAAGAGTCTCTTACGGTTTGTCTCCCTCTCTGGTTTGATCTTGTTTCATTTTTCCCTCCCTTCCCCTATGATCCTCTGCCTTGTTTCTCAAATTCTTCATATAAGTGAGACCATATGATAATTGTCTTTTTCTGATTGATTTCACTTAGCATAATACCTTCTAGTTCCATCCATGTCATTGCAAAGGCAAGATTTTGGTTTTTTGATGGCTACATAATATTCCAGGAGTGTATGTGTGTGTGTGTGTGTGTGTGTATTTATCACATCTTCTTTATCCATTCATCTGTTGATGGACATCTAGGCTCTTTCCATAGTTTGGCTATTGTGGACATTGCTGCTATAAACATTGGGGTGCAGGTGCCCCTTCAGATCACTACATTTGTATCTTTGGGGCAAATACCCAGTAGTGCAATTGCTGTGTTGTAGGGTAGCTCTATTTTCAACTTTTTGAGGAAATTCCATACTGCTTTCCAGAATGGCTGCACTAGCTTGCATTCCCACCAACAGTGTAGGAGGGTTCCCCTTTCTCCACATCCTCACCAACATGTTGTTTCCTGACTTGTTAATTTTAGCCATTCTGACTAGTGCTAGGTGGTATCTCATTGAGGTTTTGATTTGGATTTCCCTGATGCTGAGTGATGTTGAGCACTTTTTCATGTGTCTGTTGGCCATTTAGATGTCTTCCTTGCAGAAATGTCTGTTCATGTCTTCTGCCCATTTCTTGATTGGATCATTTGTTCTTTGGGTGTTGAGTTTCATAAGTTCTTTATAGATTTTGGATACTAGCCCTTTATCTGTCATTTGCCAATACCTTCTCCCATTCTGTCTGTTGTCTTTTGGATTTGTTGACTGTTTCCTTTACTGTGCAAAAGCTTTTTATCTTGATGAAGTCCCAATAGTTCATTTTTGCCCTTGCTTCCCTTGCCTTTGGCAATGTTTCTAGGAAGAAGTTGCTGTGGCTGAGGGCGAAGAGGTTGCTGCCTGTGTTCTCCTCTAGGATTTTGATGGGTTCCTGTCTCACATTTAGGTCTTTCATCCATTTTGAGTCTATTTTTGTGTATGGTGTTATGTGTCTGTTTTTGTGCCAGTACCCTGCTGTATTGATGATTACAGCTTTGTAATAGAGCTTGAAGTCTGGAATTACGATGCCACCTGCTTTTCCTTTCTTTCTTTCTTTTTTTTTAAAGGATTTTATTTATTTATCTGCCAGACAGAGAAGGAGAGTACAAGCAGGGGAAGTGGCAGGCAGAGGGAGAAGCAGGCTCCCCACTAAGGAAGGAGCCCAATGTGGGACTCAATCCCAGGACCTCGAGATCACAACCTGAGCCGAAGGCAGACGCTCAACCATCTGAGTCACCCAGGCGCCCTGGCTTTGCTTTTCTTTTTCAACATTCCTCTGGCTATTCGGGGTCTTTTCTGGTTCCATACAAATTTTAGGATTATTTGTTCCATTTCTTTGAAAAAA